CTACTTTGAGACAGACTTCTTAAGTCACTAAGCACCCAGGCGAGCTGGGCTGGAATCTGACTGCTCTGTGGCAGCCTCCCCTGGTGCTGGGGCTGCCATCGTGAGCCACTTCCACTGCTCCTAAGACAAGAGGCCTTGCGCCCTCCCGTGGGAGTCCGAAGTGGCCAGCTCTGCTCCTCCAAGAGGCCTGGAGAAGCCCGCGCCCGCCCAGCCATCCCTCCAGGAACCTTAAACTGAGGCCATGATGGCCTGGGGGCTCTCTTGGCTCCCTGGCACTGCGACCCTGGCGCTGCGACCCTGGTGCTCCGTGGGACCCAGCATACGCCCTGGAACAGCCACATCATATCCCATCTGAGCAGACCCAGGACAGGCCTGACCTCCCATGCCATCCCATGTCCTCCTCCACAACAGACACTACCCAGCCAGCCTCAGCTGCCTCTCTGCTGCCCCCTGGCTGCCCGCCAATGGGAGGTGGGAGGCTGCACACCCCCCTGGGCACAGCCGCCTCACCCTCCTCCTAGGGCAATGCCCACCCTGCAGAAAGTCTCCCCAGATCTCCCTCTCCAGGCTCAGCCCTCCCTCTGTCACCAGCCAGCTCAGCTCAGGACAATGGCCACACATGTGTGGGGACCCCTCATTTCGCCAACAAGTTCTCATTGCCCAACACCAGGCCCCCCACCCCTGCAGATCAAAAGACCGGGTGCAGGTACAGGCCACACAGAGCTGGCACCTCCTCTTGACCCGCCCAGCCCAGCTGCCAAAGCTCTCGGCAGCTCCTGTCCCCTTCTCAGCCCCCAGCCTGGTCCTGATGGCCCCCCACTCTGTCACACACAGGAATCGTGTCTTCTTGTCCCCGCCAGAACTGTGCCACCCCAGACCTAGCCACGAGCTACCACCCTCACTCACAGGGCAGGGCGAGGCTCTGCACCTTGTCCCTGGGCTGCCCCACCTATGAAGACCCTCACAGGGGTACTGCTCCCGCAGCTGGCCAGCCTGGCACCACCTCCCCTCCACTCAGCATGGCCTTTCCCCAGCGCCCACCTTGCAGGGCCTCCGGGTTCCATCCACAGCAGCCAGGGCACCGCTCCTGGCCTCTGCCACTATCACCTCGCCGCCTGCCCACCAGGTGGAGGAACCTGTTCTCCGGGTTGGGTGGCTGGCAGGGGCAGCCTCTCCTGGCCACACCCCAACCGCCAATCCTGTCCTCAGGCTCCCTCCAGTGGCTCAGTGGGTGGGGGCTCCTCACACAGGTGCCAGAACCCACGCCTGCCCACCGGGGACCCCGACCTAGCACCCTGCTTTCCTCAGGGTGGGACCAGGGCTAGCACCCAGGTACCTGGCATCAAGCACACAGCCACCCACAAACCTGCAGAGAACAAAGGGAGTCCTGCTCCCTCTAAGAGGATGGCCAGGAGGGGCTCAGGGCATCACCTGGGAGCACCCCGCCCCAGGGCAGGCATGCCCCCCACAGTACCAACCCCTGGGGGCGAGGAAAACTGACAGCTGACTCTACCTGTCCTCCTTCCTTCCTTCCTTTTCCCCTCCTACTTCCTGCTTTCCTCCTTCCTATCCTTTCTGCCTGCCTTCTTCCTCCCTGCCTTCCTATCTTCTTCCTTCCTACCAATACGTTTTCTGCCTGCCTTTATTCTTCCTAGCATCCTGCTTTCCTTCCTGTCTTCTTCCTGCCTGCCTTCTTCCTTCCTAGCTTCTTTCCTATCTTCTTCCTTCCTGTCTTCCTTAGTCCTTCCTTCCTTTTTCCTTGCTACTTTCCTTCCTGCCTTCTTCCTGCCTGCCTTCCTGACACAGCTTCTGTGTGCCCAGCCCCACAGAGGTCGCCTGCTCTGACAAAGCCCGTGCCCAACTCGCTGTCCTGTGCCCCCAGTCTACTGACATTGACCCAGCAGGGAACCCAGACACAGAGCGTGCAAGGCAGAGCCCACTCCCCTCTCTTAGCTGGTGGGACTCCGTTCAAACAATGATCAGAGCTGGTATCCCTGAGAAAGGGCACCAGAGGCCAGCAAAGCTCCTGCTGTCACCGAGAACACATGGCTGAGGCGAGAGCCTCCGAGGCTGCTCCCCAGCGAGGTCTGTGCTGCTGAGGGCAGAATCCCCACCCTGGACCCACCAACCCAGCCTGCTTCCACACAACCCCAGGTCCATGTGCTGGGCCCTGGCACAGAAGAAACAGCTAATAGGGGTCAAGGATTTAGCTCAGTGGTTCCGCTGCCTGACTCACAAGCTCAAGGTGCCAATTTCAATCCCCAGTACCAAATAAAAGAAACAGCTAATTCCAACCACAGCCCCCTCTCACAGACCAGCAAACTGAGGCCTGGAGAGTCAGAGAGGACGGTGTGACACTCCTGGCAAATGGTCACGCACCAGGGCAGGGGCGAGCCAGGTCAGCATCACTAAGATTGCCAGAGGGAACAAGTAGTTAAGAATGGGCGCTGATGATGGCGCGCTGGACCTCTGTTCCAGCTGTGGCTGCTCGCCCGTCAGCCACAGGGCCCTGCGTCTTCCTGCAAGGGCTCGAAGCAGTGACTCCGGCGAGGGACAAGACCTCCTACAAGAGTCCTGGTGGCCCCGCGTCCCAGCACCCCGGAAGGCTACTGCAGACAGGGGACGTGAGGGCTGGGCCAGGGTCGAGCTAGCCTCCTGCCTGACCACGAGACACAAGAGCCGGCTCCGCCAGGGTCCCCCAGGGCGAGGGCTGCAGCAGCCAGGGAGGCGCTGACGGGGAGACGGCGCCCCCTGCCGACC